GAGTTTGTACTAAGAAATTGAATCTCTCCCTACCACTGCATTGTCTGTAAGGGTCAGAACTCTTCTGCAGCCAATATCTTGTGAAATAATATCTCGAAGATATCTTGAAGAAATAATTCATTTTGTGGTTTTAGTTTTTATTTCAGGGTGATTTGTATAAAACAGTGTATTAAGTTTGACTTTACCACTTATTTTTAATTTCTCATGTATCTTGTGCATGATCCAGATAGCTTCCTAATCTCTAGAAAGTGACAGAGCAAAGTCAAGTGTCCATATATTCTAAGATTCTTTTTTGAAGCCCTTAGGCAATATTTATGAGAATTTGAGTGTCTATAGCACTGCCATGAAGCTAATAAAACAACTTCTAAAACCAGAAGTGATGGTTTCTGCTTTAATGCATTTGCAAGTCAAACAGTTGTTCATTAAAAGCATTTATTTTGCCCCTACCATGAGCAAATGGTGGTCCTCCTATTGGATTTTGGAATAAAAGGAAGTAGCACACAGTCGGTGCTGTTTTATGAACTGTGGACACTAAGCAATACCCGAGAGACAGCTGCTAGTGTCTGCCACCTGCGCTGCTGTGCTCGGCTGTAGGGGGCGCACATGGAGGCTGGTCCCCATCCTGCGCGGGTGGTCTGAGGAGATAAAACGGTGATGACCACAGGACAGCATATGTGGTCAGGAGCACTCCGAGTCCTCAGCTAGGGAAGAAATGCAGTGGGTGTTGGGGGAAGGAAGTCTTCCACTTGGAGCCCAGGAAGGGCAAATTGGGAAAAATTTTCCAGAGGAATTGTGATCTGAAGAGGACTCTCAGAGATAGCAGGGCTATCTAAGCAAAGAACCATTCTGCATACATGGAGTAAATGCGCAGAGGCAGCAGGCTGGCGGGGTTGTGATCAAATAGATATTAGTAGTAGTCTGTAACTTGTTATTGGTATCTTTGCATCCCTCTATATTCAATCAGTAAATAAATCAAAGTGTTCTCATTATCATTGGACTGGTTTTGAAATCAGTTAACTCAGTTTTCTTTTACATTACCACATCTATATTTAAATCAGCTTTCAGCAAATTCTACTAAACTTTAAAATGTCCTCTGTAACCTTACTCCTACCTTTTCCCTTGTGTCTGTAATTGTTTCTATGTAGTATTTTTAAAGGCAATATTGGTCCAGGACCTTGTTTTTAGCTATATTATGAACTTTCCAATAATGACTGTCTAGTGTTCCTTAAATGATACAGAGAATCCTGACAGGAGTAACAAAAATATATTCTTATGATAATTTTTATTTGCAATTAACGCTTATTCATTCTTACTTTTGTTTAAGCTTTTATTAATAAAATAATTTTAAAAGTTTTAGATTTATGAAAATATTAAACAGAAAGTCTTCATATGTAGTTTCCCTATTATTCAAATTTTACCTTAGCAAAGTCCTGTGGTGTTACAATCAATGACTCGATATTAATATATTGTTATTAACTGAAGTCCATAGTTTATTCAGATTTCCTTAATTCTTATTGCATGTCCTTTATCTATTACAAAATCCTAACTAGGGTACCCCATTATATTGAGTAGTCATTCCTCTTTAAACTCCTCTTGACTATGGTTTCTTTTGACAGTTTTAGGGATAGTGGGTCGGTATATTATACAATATCCCTGTATTATAATTTGCCTAATGTTCCTCTTCTGACAGGACTGGGATTAAGGGTTTTGGAAAGGAAGATATCTGAGGTACAAACCATCTTTATCACATCGTATCAAGGGTCCAAATCATAAACATAACTCATGGCTGGTGCCATTGAACTTGGTCACCTGGCTGAATTCATGTTGGTCACATTTTCTCACTATAGAGTTGCTCACTTTTCCCTCTCTCTTTCCATACAGCACTCTTTGTATGGAAGTCACTATGTTCAGTTTGTACTTAAAGAGTGGGGAACTTTGTTACCAGTTTTTCATAGTTTTATTCCTTAAAACAAATTTATGAGGAAATTAGCAAGGCAGAATAAGAATTATTCTGCATCCTCTTCCTTATTTCATATAAGAAGAATACCCTGAAGTCCGAGAAGATTGAGTGACCTGTGTGTGGTCCTCACAGAGAGGCTGAAAACCATACTGGAGACTATATATGCATGCAGTGCTCATCTCCAAGGTGCACATTTTTCTGCCAACCTCAACCATGGCTCTTAGGCTTTCTTTATTTTTATATCTCTTCACATTCTGCCCATTTCTTAGTTTTTATAGCTCTTCCTTTGGTATAATTCAGAAACTTTATTTTTTGGTGTGGATCTTTCCCATTTCTTCACTCTTAGTCTTCATTTACTGAGGCACTTAATTTTTTTTACAATCAGTTTTTGAAAGTCTCATGAGAGATCATTGACATTTCTAAAAATAGTAGATTATTGGCATCTCCGCATGCCCACAAAGGTCCTGAATTTACTCAGTTCCTTCTGAGAATTTAAATATATTAAGAGCTTTCTAAGTAATCAATACTCAAAACTTTCTAGAACATTTATATCTCTATCTCCATCTCCAGTGATGGTAATAGCCCTTCAAATATCATAGTCAGATGACTGTTAACATTTTTCTCCCAAAGAAAGGAATTTGTTCCCTCATGCCAAATTGCTTTTTGAGAGAGAGAGAATTATAGATAAGATAAAGCTGGAATAAACACAACAGTCTCTTTTAGAAGACTCTGATCTTCAGCTAACAAACTTCTCATCAGTTAACACGTGGATTTTGTTACCTCTGCTTCAAAGTAGTATAATTTTTCTGGTTTAATGAGAAAGCTAAAAAGAATTTGAATTCAGGAATCTATTCTTATACTTTACAGGGGAGCTAGCATTCTTGAATACTTCTGAAATTGCCATGAAGTGATGATTTTGAAACTCTGTTGAGAACATGGAGCTATTGTAAATATCATTTTGATATCATAGTGCAAAGTGTTAGCAAGACTTACATGTGCTTGTATGAGTCTCCTTTTCTGGTGGTAACTTCCCTGGTACAAGTCAGAGAGAACCCTGTGTTTGTGTCTGCACATTGTTCATTGTGAGTGTGTTCTATGAGCTTGTGTGTGTGTGTGTGTGTGTGTGTGCACGTGCATACACTTACACGAGGTGCTTTGGAAGCAGAAAAGATTAACCTCTCCAGTTTAACAATTTCTTATTAAGAGAAAATAAATGGATTAAAGTCAGTGAGTTTCAAGAAAACTACGATCTATTTTTGGCTCCCCTGTACTTTTGTCTGAGCCATTTTAACTTGAAAGTCATTTCATTTTCACTCTTCAACTTCAAGAGAAGAACACAGAGCTGGGTTTTATCACTCACCATTTTCATGGCATGAATACTTGATTTACGTGAATCTAACTCAACAGAAATTAAAACAAAACACTGTTTTCATCAAACTGTACAATAAGTGAAGTTCTCACAGTTGTCTTAGGAAGACACTATTTTAGTTTGTCTTGTAGGAAACTAAATGATTCGGCCCCATTTTGTTCCTAAACACTAGATTGGAAGCCCTGGGTTGAATCTTAAGAGCCCCTAAAATATAAATCAAATATGAAGAATCCCAGTTGTCATTTAACCACCTAATTGATCATTATGCATGCACTGTTAGAGTGGATCATACCAGATATTGAATTAAAATGTGATCGTAACAGGTTTCACATTGACAGAGCTCTTCAGTTTAGTATATTCATAGCTGTCTGATGATGAGCTGGATACTTGTAATGAATCCATCAAACAATTGTTATTGGTGTCATCATTAAATAGCTTTCTGTCTGCCCTTTCCCATATAAAAATGACAAAATTTTCTACATATTTGCGTAAGTTTTTAAAATGTAACAACCAAAGTATCAAAATATATAATAGTTCTATATTACTATTTATTCCAGCTGCTTGGCCATTTTGGTCAAACATGGTTTGAATTATATAAAAATTTTAGTGTGTATAGATGTATACATGTATGTATATAGTTACATAAAGAAATCTATGCTGCATTGCAAATTATGGGAGTGACTATGCTTATAAAAAGGAGAACATTTAGTACAGATAAAGATATCCAGTCCCTCAGAAGTAACCACAGGTAGCATATAGGTAACTTCCTATGATGTATATGCATGTCTCCTTTTCTATTTATCTATCCTTTACAAAATAAAATTACCATGTATATAGTTAACATTTTTCTAACCTATGTAGTGTATAGTATTTCTGGGGTATAGTATTTATATAATTTTTTGAAGTAAATACTCACTGATGAACTCCTTGCTTAGTTTTGGATCATCGGATTGGTCATTTAGTTTTGGGACTAGTGTAAGGATCAGGGAAGGGTAACTGGGTCAAGAAGGAAGAAGCAGAATCCATGCAAAGCTGGTGAGGAGGAAGGAAACCGGGCAGCTCTGAGCGCTCCTGCTCTGCGAGTGGGAAGCGTGTGAGCCCATACCCCTCCACGCCGGCTTGCTCACAGCGCTGTAGACAGACTGGGGAAAGAGCCTGAACACTGGAATGAGAAGTGCTTGACAGAGTAATCGGCTCCTTCCTAGGGCACACAGAGGGAGGTGTCGGCTTCCTTGGCTCTACAGTGACAGGCCTGAGTAAGAGCAAGTTTGGTCTGGGTAGTGACCAACTTGAAGGGTCTGACGGAGGTTGTAGGCAATGCACAGCAGCAGCAAAGTCTCTGAAGAAACCAGGTGGCTTACACCTTGACACTGTGAGGTTGCTGACACCAGCCTCGGTTCTGGGAGTCATTGCCCCTGATTGCTGGAAGGTGGGGAATCCAGGATGCCAAGAAAGAGGCATTTCACAGCCTATCGTTAGACCTGCAGGACAAAGTTCTCCCGGGAGGAAACCACCCACCCTGTTGCCCTCTCCTCAGCTCAAAGCTGCCATGGCTATGTCAGCTTAAGGCAGTTATTTAATGATTTTGATACATTTCCTTGAAAATATTCACATGTATGTTCCAAATGCAAGTATCACATTCCTAATAAAGTGTACCTACTTCTCTTTCAGAAATAGATGACAAGCGAGTGACCAACACACAAGGAGAAGTAAGTGTTCTTCTGTCTTGTATAAATATGTTCAAATCAAAGACAGTCACCTTGATTTGAGGTGATATAAAATATGGTATGAAATAAGATATGATATCATGTGATATAAAATATGTGATATAAAAGCTGTTTGGGTTGCTTTTTCTGACTGAATAGTAGATGGGGTCTTTGCAATCTCTGCCTCTCAGTTACCTCAATTCTCTGACTCTCTATGACTCTCTAAGCTCTGTGTAAATATTTAAAAATGAAGCATTGGTCACAGTGGCAAGATACATTATCAATAACTCTAACTTAGTGAGTGGTTAGCAGGTGGAACCTGGCAATGTTGGAATCCTGGAGCAAAAACAGTGACCTCTTCAAGGGTCTTCTGGTGTGTGGAGCCAAAGCACACCCCCACACCAGAGTCTGGGGTGGAGGATGAAGTCCACTACAGCCTGACTACTCAGAACTAATGAGTTCACCGAGAAATGTATTCAGATACACACTCAACAGTGAGTCTGAACACGGTCATCTTTACCCCTCCATATACTCATGTGGGAGAGCAGACAGAAAGTAAGGATCAAGGGAGGCTGGGGGAGCTAATAATATAGATTATAGAAAACACAAAGATAGGAGAAAACTTGTGCTCAGAAATGGAGCAAATATTGGCTAGAATTTAGGAATCATATCCCATGAGCACATGAATAGGCATGTAGCAATACCTAAAGAGGAAAATGGGGAAGGGAAAGATATTAAATTTTATCTCAGAGGAATTTAAAAGCATTTAGTGAGCTGTAAACACAAAATTCCTTCAAAATTAAGTTTTTACATAAACATAAAATAGTTTTATCACCCAGGCTTAATACTATGATAGTAAACAACAAAAAAGCACTTTTCTGTAATTAATTTGATACTTGACCTTTGAACATGTGAATGGGGGAGACAAAAGAAACTCCACCAGTGATTGCTTCTTAAAATCAACTGGGCATGACTGGAACAATAGAAGTACCCAGAGATGTCAATCATTCTTGCATTAGGCATCAATAGTCACCCTGCCTGCTCCTGTAACAGACCAAAGCATTCTAATCCAGAGCAAAGTCTTTGTGCTACTTGCTCAGTTGATAGGTATTTGGCCACTAGGAGAACATTTTACTTTTCAAAAGATTTCTTTTGCATCAGGTAAATATCAACCTCTTGATAAAGACTGAGCGCCATTAAGCTTCTGTTTGTACAGAGAAAAATGTCTTGGTTCTATTTATAACTTTCTGAGACAGTTTCTAATTTCTTTCACACTTTTTACATTATGTTCTTTCCAATATGCATGGAAAGCATAGAACAATCTCCCCAGGAGTGTCTTGTTAATATATATACATATATATCACTATATATACTTAACCTTTTCAAAGCAAAATAATTGCTCTCACTAAAACTCTTGAAGACTCCCATCCTTGCCACTTAAAAATACAAATCAACATATTAAAAAGCAGTTTTTGAGGCAAAATTTCACATTATCTATCTATTTAGAATAAATAGTATATCATATATATATGTATATTTCCATAACATTATGGAATGGTGGGTTTTGATCCTGACATATGTTCCTGTTTTATCATTTTTAAATGGAAAATATCTTCTTCACTAACTTAACCCTGGTCCAGTGTGCCAAGGTAACAGTGTTATACAGCAATTTTGTTCAGAAAAGATTTTTGGACAATTAAAAGAATATTGTCATTCCAACTAAATGGAGACATTAAATTGAACATGTCAGCTCACGAGGGTTATAGATTGCTATTGGCTACCAAGGATCCTCATGCTCCCTCCTGAGCCTCAGTAATTCTATGAGCAGATAGTACTACCCACAGGCGTAGCTCTCGGAGTATACTTTGTCTCGCAGCTTTTCTCACTAATGGACAGGATTGATGCCTTCTGTTCTCTTTTAAAACAATGTTACTAGGCGAGCTAGGAAAAGGAATGATTTTAAGACTGCAGTGGAGGAACACCGTGATAAAATAGAGTTTATAGCTTCATTATCCCTCAAGCCAGGATCACGGAACATGTGTATAACTTCTCACTGATTACAGTTCTCTTTCTTGACGGGGACATCAGAAAGCCCTCTGAAGTAGAGTGCAGGGTTTGTTGCCCCCTCGGGCAGGATGGAAGTATAGCTTTTATCCACATCTAACACTTTTACTCCTTTCCCTTCCTCCACAGCCACAGAATGCATCCCCCAAGCAGAGGAAGCAGAGCGTATACACACCGCCCGCCATGAAAGGTACTGTCCTAGTTATGCCTCAGGTGTGGAGAGTACTGAGTCCTGAATCCCGAGTGGACTGGCTGTGTTGGAGGATCATCCACGAAAACATAAGTGAGATCTAGTCTCAGCCGCAGAACTCCGCAGTGTGACATTCAGCGAGATACTTACTATTTAAAACTTAATTTCATCACGAGTAGAATAGGTAACCAAAAAAGCAATAACTAGGTTCGCAGAACCTTAGTCTAGAACTTCAGCTTCCAAACTAATGATATTTTTCTTTTCCTTTGCCTGACATATCTCCTTTGAAGTGGCTTTTCCACAATCTCTAATCACCCTTGCCAGTGTTAGCAAATGATTATTATTTTTCTTGACTTAAGCAAAGCAGAATATCTTGAATTTGGGGGAGATTTGATGCTAAGTGTGGCCTCCTTGCTTCCTGACAGGAGGGGCTCTAAGAAACACAAGCAAACAGCTATTTGCTCTACTCGTAGCAGCTGTTGAAATAACGACCAGGTGTGCTACTTCAGATTGGGGCATTTTTCCAAAATTTTTCCTCAAAATTGGAACTGCTGAAATAACATGTAAGTGTATCAGTATTTTGATGAACATCAGTTCCAGGGAAGGCACCTTTGACTTCTCACACAAAAGTATTCCTGAAAGGAGGCAGAATCCGTTCAGTCCAGTAGCTTGTGTTCTAGTCTGGCACGTGGGCTGTGGGCTCACGAGCTCATCGTGCTGTGATCAGCTCCATTTCAGCGGCAGGAGAGGCCCACGGAGCAGCTTTCTCTGAGGCTGCAGAGATATCTAAATTGGGAGTGAAATTTTCCACTCTGTACTCTCTCTAGATTTGGAGACTTTTCAGGGAGGTGGGTTATAAATGGACATGTTAATAGCTACTTTTAGGAAACTTCCTTCCTGTGCAACTAACAAACACCAAGTTTGCTTGTTGTGAGACTGTAGTAAATAATGCAGTCATCAACACTGAAGTTTACTCTGAGGTAATTATTGAGATTACTAGGCATCCCTGCGTGAGGTTAAGTGTAATCATTTTAAAGATGTTTTCTCCATGTTAAGTGACTTTGCATTTTCAAGACACATCAGTTTTGGCACCCACGGGCAATGACAAAAGATATATGTTCACTCATTTAATTATTTCTTCCATTCTATTTTGGGTTGGCTTAAGCTAAATTAAGCAATACTGTTCTTGAATCCTCAGAGAATAATAGTATTATTTTTAAAGAAAAATCTAAAACTCAAAGCCCTAAGGGCTCTTGGTGTTCATTATATTTAGCTTTCAAATATCCTGAGAATGTGAAATCCTAATACTTAGGGAAGTTAGTTCTATTGCACACTTTTCATATATTCATATAAAACTGAGCTGCCTCAGATTACCCCTCAATGACAACCATCTGTGTTCATGAATTACAAGCTTAAGAAAGAACAGTAATTCTTTCCAGAGCACATCAGGGTGTTAATACCAATGCTTTAGTTTCTCATCTATAACCAGTAGATATCTTTGCAACTCTCCAACTCATGACAAAAGAAAAGAGAAAGACAAATCCACACATTTTATTCAGTGCACTGTATCTGTTGCTAAGAGCTAAATAATGAATATTTCAAGACAAAATTAAGCAACAGTAACATATGGTACATTGCAAACACATTAAGAAGATTCAATCATAGCAAACATAACTGAACAAAGGGAATGTTATTAAGATGCTAAATACAGTACTACAATTGCTCTGAGATGTATAATTCTTCAAATTTCAATACAATATGCAGTGATTGAGAGTAAAAAGTTTCATGGGAGAGCAAAGTATCAGCAGATATGATTAACAGTTCTGGCCAAATTTGCTATAACAAAAAGTCAACTAGGATTTCATGAAGGATCCAATGAGAATTGGTTAGTAAAACAAAACAAAGCAAAACAAAACTCACAAAATGAACTAGGCAGATTCCTTCTTTCTCTCTTATTCAGCAATGTGGAGTTACAGGAGGTCAGGAGAGATGCTACATTGCACTTATGCTATTTCACCTGAATCTATAGACAACCATCGTGTTTCCAAAGTTCATTAAGGTTTCCCTTTTTTAGATACCATGGAATTTTGTCCATATGAATATTCTCACCATCTAGAACAATCTCTGGCACATAGTAGGTATTCAATATATACTGGATGAATAACTGAACTATAATTCATTGGGGAATCTGTTCACATGGTCACCCACTCAAAAGTGAATATCATTTGAGCTCATGAAACTGATGTCAGACTTGTGACTCTACTTCTGGTTTTCGTTGCTTTTTCTCTGGCCAGTTCTCTCTCTCCTCCTGTTCCTACTTATTCATATCCTTCCATTTTTGTATATTTCCTTTCTCATCACCTTTTCTCTCTCTGGTCAAAGAGAAAATGTGATTTGGTGAATTAGTTACTGAGATGGCTTGGATGTGTTCCCCAAGAGCCCATCCATGTATCAAAGGTGTGGTTCCTCCTTGTGATACACTACTGGGAGATGGTGGAACTTTTTAAAGGTGGGGAATTGTGGGGGAATCCATGAAGGAGACTGTGGACCCAGACCCTCTTCTGTCTCTTACTCTGACCATCACGTAAACAGATGCCTTCTCTCATGTACTCCCACCATGATGTGTCGCATCACTACAGGCCCAACAAGCCATTGCCTGAAACATCTAAAACTGTGATCCAAAAGAAGTGTTTTTCCTTTATAAGTTAGTTATATCAAATATTTTGTTGTGTTGACAGAAACATAAATAACACAGTTACCATCTGTGCACCACTTAGGCTGAGTTCTTAGGAAAGGTCACCTCATGGAAGTTCCAGGGCTCTCTAGGGACCTCTCCCTCCCTCTCACTCTCTCTCACATTTGAGCACCAGGTCTTGTGGACTGAATCCCTTTAGAATCTCACTCATCCATCCTTTTCTCCCATTTCCAATGTCATCACCATATTCAAGTCACACTTCTCCCTGCCAGTCTTTATCCTCTCACTTCCCATTTGTTTTCAACAGGATAGCCGGGGTGAACCTTTTAAAACACAAAAGTGATTGTGCCAAGCTCCTGATGGCTCCACACTGCCCTTAAATAAGACTTCTGTTCCAGAGCAGGGTTTCCAAAGCTCCCTGACTATTGTTCCAATCTGCTACTGCTTGTCTCATTCCCTAGAGTAAAAGGTGGCTGAGATGAGGCATTTCTGAGGTCAGCACCCACCCATCCATTCTTCCTCCGCCCATCCACTCACCCACCTATGCAACAGAGTACCTCCTAGGGTATTCTGATAAATGTGGTAAACATTGATAAATGTGAACAAATGCCACACTGGCATTTTATCAGCTTCTCAATGCACTAAGGTCTTTCTGGATTCAAGAAAAAAGAAGGAGGTGTGCTTTCTTTGGCCCTTGTTGGATTCTTCATTGGTCCAGCTCCTACTCATCTTGAAGCCCTGTCTTGAATGGTGTGTCTCTGAAAAGTGCCCTCCTTAGCACTGCATGGTAAACACTCTACATTTAATAAGCTCTCTATTGGCCCTCTCTAGAGTTATAAATTCTCCATAGATTTTCTGTGCAGCTATCAAAATGCTCAAATATTTATTTAGGTTTTATCTCTCCAACTAGCTCAAAAGTGACCTATCTGGCAGTAGAGACTACATCTACTTTGCTTATCCTCATGTCTTCAGGTTTTAGCATAATGATTGGAACCTAAGCAGTACTCATAAATTTATTTTTAAACAATGAAAATCATATATACAACTCTGTGTTTCTGGTGAAAGAATATTTTCCCAAGGATATCTAGCTTCTTTGTGGACAGTCTGCCTGTGACAAAGAGCTTTCTCAGTTGAAGTCCTTAGCAATGTGAATTCATGGATTCTTATTGTACATCTTGTTAATATTTGTGGCATGTTTAAAAATGACAGATATTGAAATATTTCAAGACATGTGTCAGGTTCTTGTCCTACCCTGATGTCAATTATCCCTGCTGTTTAGTTTTTTTCTCATTCATGCTTAATCTCCTAGTAAATTGAATTGTGCCTATATTATCCTAGAAGTTCATCTTCTAAAATCAATCTGATATTTAAAGTTTGAGCTGACCAGAAAAGAATGGAGACTTGAATTATATCTGATTTTTTTTTATTTATTTCAGAAAACTTAATGCTATACATACAACACTAAATCTTATTTTCTTTTTCTGGCAGCTGTGCACATTGTTGACATATAGTGAGCTGACTATAAAATCAGTTTCATATATCTCTCTATCTATATATGTATATATATTTCCCTATTTGCCATTCATTCCTGGTTTTAATTTTAAGCCCCTCTGTTTTTATTCTGGGCAAAAGCCAAGTCAGCACTGTCATCTCAATAGTGTCTTCTATTGTTAGAGTTGGCATGTCATATTTTGTATCCTGATTCTATCAGCCACTCTATTTCCAATTATGTCAGTAGAGTGTCATCCACAGATAAGATAAACCTATCTTCTGTATTTTTATACAAGGGTACAATAAAAATATCAAGCAGAGCAGGACTCGCAGAGACCCCTGCAGTGTATGTATCTCCCTCTCATTGACACTGATTCCCTGAATGTCACCTTGTACCAGGTTACAGGATAGACTTACTCTATCAAGAATCTCTTCCTTCAAACCAGAGTTTCCCATAGCATGCTTATTAGAGAGGTTGCTGTATTTTAGGTTCCTTGTGCTGATCACATTTTTTTCCACAGCTGAGTCAGACATTAATTATGCATAAGAATAACAAAAGTTGAAGTTTCCTTGCAAAACAGACTTACTTTTTCATTATGTTGTGGAGTACATTGCTTCATAATTACTAAGTAGAAAATTCTGAAGTTTGTCAGAGACATGACAGCTGATGATGAATGGCCACATTCACGCCTCTGGTGTTTGTTTACATGGTGCTCAGCTTTGCAATTTACAGAGCATACAGTTAAATTATTGTTGGATTATTTTAATCATGTTCTCAGAAAAGCATAGTGGATTTGAATCTTGGGACAGGAAA